GGCAGGGAGAGGCAGGGAGAGGCAGGGAGAGGCAGGGAGAGGCAGGGCAGTCAGCAGTTTTGTTTCCTGAGCCGTGAAGCTCCTCAGGTGGTCAGGTTTATGCCGGTCAGCGGAGGGTGGCAGAAGATAAAACAGGGGGACCCTGTTATAACACAGGCAAGCAAACATACTTGGTGAGCCAGCTCGCCTGACTTCTTATTGGAGGAAACTACAAGGACAGCACTTCCTTTGCTCCTTGGACCTTTCATTGGTTTGCTGATCTGTAGCACCGGGAAATTTGGATCTGCTGCCTTTTTCCACACATGAGACCATTTATAGTAAGATCTTGGTGGGATCTACTTTGAGTGAGCTCACCATCTATAGCTCCGTGCTCTAAGAGCCCTTTCCCCTTGTTGTCCAACATATTGATTTGTCTAGGCAACAATAGTCATTCAAGAGTCTTTCCCCAACCATTGCCCAGGGGAGTGTCATCAATAGCAAACTTTCGCCTTGTTTTTTAACATTATTGCATTCTTTTTGGGTTTCTTTCCAAAAATATTGGTTCATCTAAGGACAAAAGAAGTTCTTGCCACATTGGAATGACCAAACTGATCAGAACATTTGCTATACGAGTCAGGCTTCCATGTGCAAAGGGTATATCAAATTAGCTTCTGCAGCTTTAAATATCATCTCAAGAAGTATACAGGGGCCATTCCTACTTTATTGATGGGATCCTTGACTCATTCTTGCCCTTCTGATTCCCTGACCAGGATTGGTAAATTTCTCAGTAGCTATAAGCTCCCTGAATCTCTAGGTACTTGACATAGAAGCTGAGATGTCTGTCTTTTCAGAAGGACATGTCCTGTTTTTGACTCAGTGAAGCCCTTAGCCTTGTCCGCCACAGCTCTCACATTGAGGACACAGTAGCTGCCATCCTAAGGCTGCCATTTGGTGTGGGAAGTCCTTCTGTATATGTGTTGTTTTTATTGATAAATGAATAAAGAAGCTGCGTTGGCCTGTGAGAGGGCAGACTAGAGCTAGGCGGGGAAGACTGAACTGAATGCCGGGAGGAAGAAACCGGAGTCAGGAAGAAGCCATGTATTCCTGCCTGACGCCAGACAGAACTTTATCCGGTAAGCCACAGCCACTTGGCGATACACAGGTTAATAGAGATGAGTTAGTTTAGGATATAAGAGCTAGCTAAAAATACACTTAAGCTATTGGCCAAACAGTATTACAAATAATATCATTTCTGTATGATTATTTCAAGTTATGGCCGTCAAAAAATGAACTAGCAGCCTCCGACTACAGCCTTTGAAATTCCAATCATCTCTTTATACCCATCAATATTTGAGATTTATGCAGTTCACTTGGTAGAGTGTCCGCTTACTATGCACAAAGCCCTATGCACAAAGTTCAGTCCCCAGCACTGCAAAAACAGGGCGTGGTGATGGATATCTTAATCCCAGCAAAGAAGGATTAGGATTTCAAGGTCATTAGCTCCAAGGCAAGTACAAAGCCAGCCTGTACTACATGAGACCTTATTTCAAAATAATAATAATGAGAATAATAGTAGTTAATAATTATTATAAATAATT